TCAGCTCTGGTTTGCTTACCTATGCTGTAGAAACTAGCAGTTTAGATATAATTATACTGAGGAAAGTATATTTTATTGATATTGTCTTCTTTGGCCTAACTATAATTTAATAAACGTTATTCTAGTTCCATACACTTTGGCATTTGCATTTGTAACATGCTCTAATGTATGCATAATTTATATAGTATAAATATACATACTTCTATAGGCCTTACAATCACTTTTCAAAGTCCCTTATCACTTGGGGTAATTTGTTGTGTTCTTGCAGGTACCACTCCTTTTTTTCTTTCTTTCAGATCAGAATTTGGAAGTTTTCCCAGATTTTGAGGTTCCTGCAAACACCCAAATGGATGTAATAGATGACAATGAAGATTTTACATCAAATGATGCCACTGCAGTAATGAAAGGAGACTTTGGGAAAGGTACTCTGATAATACACACAGATAGGATAAATGGGAATCCCTCCTGCATACGCAGTGGTACTGAAGGTGCTGCTTATACAGCTGAGGGTTTAAACCAGCACTCCACGTCTCAGGTATGTACAGTGAACAAAGGCAGCCAAAGGAAACCTGAAAATATTTTTGTTTCAAGTAAGGAAACTAATTCTGACTCAGATCTAGGCAATACAGAATGCACATCAGAAGACTTTAAAGCATCCGAGGAAGTTTTATTAAAAGGCAATAGACTTGTGGCAGATGTTACATACGAAGATATGAAACCTAGCAATAAGGATTCCCACAAAAGTGAGCCTGTGTTAATTGTCAGTGCTCAGTATGAGTGCGGAGCATGTGGAACTGATGGCTTAGAAAGCAGGACTGAAATACATAAAGCAGCCAAATCTGGCCACCCCGAGAATAATTTTGCTTCATCTGAGCTTGCACTGAATGAATTAACCAGTCTTGAAAAAACAGGAGATCCAGACACCAAGACTCTGCTCCCTGTTTTGAAAGCTTTGCCCACCCACAGCTTTGAAGTGAAATTGTTCACAAAGGAGCAACGAGGTGAGGAGTGTGAAGAATTTACCCTGATGTCAGGGGTTATAAAAAGATCCTCCTCTATAATATCCGATTCAGGCATTGAAAGTGAACCAAGTTCAGTGGCATGGTCTGATGCTCGTAGCCGGGCACTGGAGCTGCCCGGTGATCGAGAGATCCTGCACCACTTGGTACGAAGACACGTCATCCACCGAAATTCCCTGGAGGGTGGCCAAACAGAAAGCAATACGAGCTTGCCCAGTGGGATCCAAGCGTCGCTCACATCCATTAGCTCTTTGCCCTTTGAGGAAGAGGAGAGGGAAGTGGAGCTTACCAAGCTGACCAAATCTGTCTCTGCTCCTCAGATCAGTAGTCCAGAAGAGCCTGGGGAGGAGGTCGATATATCCAAACACAGTGAAGCAACCTCAGGAGATTCAGGAGGAAATTTAAAAAGTTGCACAGAAACACAGAGTGGAGATGGGCAATTAGTCGTGGACTTTTCTGAGTGTCAGATAACCACTGGAAGTGGACAACTAGAAGGAAGAGGATATCCCAAACCCTCTGCCAAACACAGTAGCAGTAACATTGAGTTACAAGGGGAGGAGGAGAAGGAAGGTTTTCCAGAGACTTACTGTAGTTTGGAAAGTGCAAGACTACCCGTTTGTCCAAAGCAGCTCAGAGATAACGTCTCTGAATGCCAGTCACTGGAGAGCAATAGTGAGTGCAGCTTAAAAACACCAAGGGCTTGTAATTACTTGGAGAAAAATATCGATAAGTTTGATACATGCATCGAGGATCTAAAAGATAAACTTAAGCCGGATGGTTTAAAAATACAACAAGGCTTTTACTCCAATAGCAGAACTTCAGGAGAGGAGAGTTTCCCACAAAGCATAAAGCTGGTACCAGATTTTTGCTATCCTGTTCCAGCTCCTTCAGAGACCTCAACTGAGTTTGGCTTAATGCAAGGAGAGTGTGGAAGCTCTCTTGCTGATGAGAGCCCGGCAGTGTATGCAGAAATGCAGGGGTTGCAAGAAATTGAGCTCGACGACTCACCTGCCTCAGCAGACCCTGCTGCAGGATCCTACCAGGCTGAATATCCTCAGAAACTCGAGAGCCGAGAGCATAAACTTGTGGCTAATGGCACCGGCTTTCATTCAATGACGACGGAGGGAGTAGCACTGGAAAGCAGAAAGGCTGTTGATGTGGTTAATCTGTCTGTCTCTTGCACAGCCACGTGTCTTCCCTTTTCTTCTGTGCTCAAAGAGACCCCTGCTATGGTGGGCTTCTCTGCAAAGCAGGCTGCGTTCCCCATCACACACCAGCCTCTGGGCTCTTTTGGAGTTGTCTCTTCCAGTTCAAATGAGGAGGATGAAGAGACCAATGAAAGGATGCTGAAGTAAGAATGTCTAATTACTCTCTTCATTAAAATTACTATAATGCCAAGAGACCCTGACAAAGTTCCAGGCCCTAATACAGTAAGCATAGGGTAAGCTTGCGTTCAGAGACATCCAAAATAAATAATTCAAATAGACAAATGGTTTATATAGAATAAATAATCTAAATAGACAGGAAGGATGAAAACACAGAGAGACTGAGGTCAAAGACATTATGTCCTTAATCCTCATGAAAATCAGTAAGATTTAGGTGTCTAAATAGCCTTTAAGATCTGGCCCTCCTTCCTGAAGTCAACGTTACGCAGAGGTGGGTATTGATCCCAGATAGTCAATTCTCTATGGCAGTGCCATAACTTGTTTTCCTGTTCTGCTTAGATAATTGTGCTCATTAGCTAAACTATGAAACAGGTGCACAGATTGGCTCGTAGGGTCTTAGCTTCAGCTTCTCAAACTGGAAAAATGGGAGAATTGGCATCCTGTGTAGCTGGAGAAGAGATACTGATTTTTTTTCTTGCTTCATTCCCCATGGCAAAAGGGCAACATCATGGTCTTGATTTCACAGTGGCCCATTTCACAGACTGACATGCTAGCACATGTATACTTTTGTTACATTTTGGTTCCTCTGCTGTGCTGAGGGAAAATAGCATCATGAGAAATTTCTCAACCCATTCAGCGGCTCAAAATGGTGGCTCTCTGCATGTGCATTCATTTGCTATCCAAGGCTCTATTTTTATTTTTTTGAAAACATCTTGAGGTTTGTTTTATAAACTGTGCTGTAAGTCCTGTTTAATTTAAGCACAAAATTTGTTCTTTCTTTGTGAAGCGAAGTATTTAAGCATGTATTCATGCACATGAATCAAGGGCCTCCAGGTCCATGGCTCAAATGCTAGATTTATCGTTCTTGTGTTCCTTTAAAGTCAGTAGGGCTGATATAAGTAATTGCTCATCGTTATATCAAGTGGCTTTAAACAGTCCCCAGGCTTTAAAGGTTTATATCTCCTAACCTCGTTGATCCTAGTTTTCTACCTAATTCTACGCTTACGATGTGATTATTGATTCCTAAAAGCTCTGGATAAGTTTTGCTAAGTCAAAAAGCCACTGAAGAGTTTGGCATTTTCAGCTAGCAGAATGCCTCAGGGTGAATTTCTGTGTCAAATTGTAGGCTTTGAGCAGGGAAGGGGCTAACTTAATTCTTTTAGCACTGAGCTGTTCTTCCTCTTAGCTACTAAATATTTTCAAAAGAACCTGAAACCAGGTCAAACCAAAAATATCTACCATATGAGATGCATTCCTTAACTCCATGGTTTGAGGAATGGGGAGAACACCATCTACCTGCCTATAAATGCATGTCATGCTATCAAAATGATACATTTTGTATTTCAGAATCTATATGGCTGATTACATTGTAAGATGCAAAATTGCTAATTCTGTATCTTATTCTCACTGTTATGGGCCACCAGAAGATTTTCTGTAAATCCTTCATTCCTCTGGCAGGTGTGAGGTGTTAATGGGCTTTAGCTATTCCCTGTATGTAGCCAAATGACTCAGAAACAGACTTTCTTCCCTGCATTCTGTTTTCACTCAATCAGAATACATAAAGAATAGTATACAGGTCTCTACTTGAAAGTTGCAAACTTAACTTCTTGCAAATATCAGCCTCCTCATTTCTAGTTTGAAGGTTTGCTGTTGAACAGCCAGTTCTATTGTGATTAATTAATGTATTCTCCAGTTTTTATCAGGCCAAAGAAAAATTTAAAAAAGAAATGAAGATTGAAGGATTTCTGTACAGTGACGTATCTGTACTAGCTTCTGATATCCCATATTTCCCACCAGAGGAAGAGGAAGAAAATTTGGAAGATGGAATTCACCTGGTTGTCTGTGTCCATGGACTGGATGGTAAGGCCATGAGGAATTGCTGTTTGGAAGTCATTTTGGTGTAAAAAAAAAAAAGGGCAGATGTTCAGCAAGTGTGCAAGAATGGAGAATCTAAGGATAGTATTTATCTTAGCTGGGTGTTTAGTCCTTATTATGTCATTCAGTCCACTGTAAGAAAAGATCTAGGAGAATATTAAATATTTGCTCTAAGAAATAGATGCTGCAAATTTTTTTGTTGTTGTTTAAACAGAATTCTACACCAAAGTACATCAGTCCTTCTGTGTACAAGAGGAGTGCATTACAGTAACTTCTCTTGTCTTTCTGCAGATGCTTAGTTGTTTTGCACTATGTCACCACGATGTAAACAATATTTAACACACACCCACAGACACTGTTATAGGGTAGAGAGCATCTGGCTTTAGAAAGCTGGCCACAACAACCCCATGCAACACTACAGG